GAATCAGTTCATTTCTCAGCCTCTGCTTTGGAGCCTGTGGAATTTCCTTGGAGATCAGACCTTAAATATGGCAGTTGTGTCCTTAGTCTGGCAAAGAGCTACACCCACCCTTTAAGATACTCTTGTAAGGAGTTAGAGGAACATTGTGGTCCACAACCAGAATGAATATTTGTTTTTAATTCAGTTCTGGGCAGTATCTAGGGTGTCTGTGTGCTGATGCCAGCAACTGGCAGGGATAGGGATGTGATTTGGAAAGCACAGTCACTTCTTCATGCTGAAAGAAATGCAACTGGTTGTATAACACAGAGCACAAGTCCCTTCTCCTTAACTTTTTCACTCTTCTAATCCCTGCCCTGTTGTCATCCTGCCCTAATTACTCCTTTCTGCCAAAGCATTTCATTCTCACTGGCCCTGCAGAATGCATTGCATCATCCTTAATCAACTCTGGGAGAACAGGAAAGGTCACAAAACACCTTCAAAATTATCTGTGGTTTTTATCTTTGTCCTTTAACTCCCCTTGGGCAGTTACTAACTACAGAGTAAACCTTGAAGATCTGCTTAGTGTTTCCTGAGGCAAAAGCCTCAAAGGAGTAAACTCGAGTTAGAAGAGTTGGCCCTCATAGTGACCTGCAGAAGTCAAGACTTCTGTTTTCAAGTCCATTGCATAACATAAGTATTTTTCTCTCCCTCAATGCTGCCTGCTCAGCTGGAGCTGCAGGTAGGTTTGGGTTTCTGTTTCATTGGGGTTTGCTGTATCTAATCCAAGGGTACGTACCCACATCGCCTTCTATGCTGTTTTGTCCAGCTCCCATTTAGTGTTTCCTGATTGATCCCACACCATAAATTGTCCCATTTTTATTTCTTTAAGCAGCCAATGTCCAGAACTAAGTGTTGTCTGAACAACAATTTGCATTCCTCGAGTCTTTTCATAGCAAGTCATTGCAGATTTAAGGTGGATATTATAGGATTAAACTGCTTGGATGGAGAGCTATAATATCCATCTTAAAGTTTTGGAGGATTTGTTTGTGCTGGATCAATATTATCAATTAATGAGACAACACTTAGTTTTCTTTTTCTGTTTTTATAGTTGAGAGCTTATCTAGCAGTACAACATTTCACACTTCTGTAGCCCCTGAGATAGCAAAAGGACTGTGTGGAGTTACATGGTGAGGAGTCTGGCCAAAGAGCTGTCCCACCAGTCAGCTCACTGGTGTGGTACCAGTGACCCAACAGCAGAGTAGCAGTGGAGTTCAGGAGTTGAAGTGCATCTCTTCAGCTGTGTTTTATTAGCACATCCCTGTGGTTAAGGGGGAAATGATATCCTTGTGACTCCAAGCAGCACATCAGTTTTCACACAGCACATGTCTGTGTTTCCAGTTCCCAGTGTGACTTAACAGCAGATCCATCTATTTCCCTTTGTCTCCATCTGTAAAATGGAGAATGGAGATGATGACAGTTCATGGTCTCCTCATTTGGAGCTCCTGTATGAAACTGTTTAGCTTATCTGGTAGCAAAACATTTGCTCTCCTCTTCCTTTCCTGGAATGAAAGTCTAGGTTTCCCTCTGCAGTTCAGATGGTGAAAAGGATCTTTCAGGTTCACAGATTTAATCCCTAGCACAGCATTTTGCAGTATTCCCAAGCTGTTAGCTCATTCCAGCAGAAGAGCTCCTAACTTTACTTATTCAGTGTCAGCTGTTGGCACACACTTAAGGGACACAGCAAGTGTCAGCTGTGTCAGCTGTCACGTTCCCACCAGGAAAGGAGACAGGAAACCAGGGAAATCTGTTTGCAGAAGTATTGAATGTGTCTCATGGAGAACTATGTCACATGGAACATGTCTGAGCAGAGGTACCAGCAATGTTCTACTGCTGTTTAGAAACATGAAGAGGTTTGGGTTGAAGGGATCTTAAAGCTTATCCAGTTCTACCCCCTGCCATGGGCAGGGACCCCTTCCACCCGCCC